TGAATATTGGTAGGTAATCTTGTATGTTCTGGTATCAGGATGGGTGGCTAAGGAAGGTGCCGTATTTTAAAACATGTGCTTGGATATCTCAGCCAATTCCTGAATTAATAGCGTTTGAACGTTTATCGTTTGTACACTTGCACATATTTCATGACCTGAGGTCAACAAACCGGAAGGAAGAACAGATTTTGAATGTTCCAAATGTGCAGTACACCAAACATAAATGTTTTCAACTTGCAGCATAAGAATGCCACCATCTTTCAAATTAACTTGTACCAGCTTATAATCTGCACACTATTCTGCCTAAGCATAAATAAAGAACATGCAAATTATCTATGGCCATAGCGTAATATTTTTGTGAGTTGGATCGCTATTTCAGTCCATTTTCTTTTTCAACTGGAAATCCATGCTTCTCAGCTGTTTTAACCTTTTTCATTACAAGACTTTCTCACCCAAATTTGTCTGCACTTTTTTCTTATATTCAATATTTCTGGAAATAAACCCTAACTTTGGAGTCAATAGACAAAACAAGTCATTGTCAATGACACGTCCCCGCTTCGTTCATATTTGAGTGACATATACATTCAAAGCAGATCATGACCGAAATGCACCTGCATATGTACAACACATTGTACTAAATCTGAACAAAATCCATCCATGCATGACTGAGATCTGGTTCCGGAATTGTGAAAATACATGATTTTGATGCATTTTCGGCCTTAAAATGGCCATCATTCAGCTATTGTTAAGCGGATCATGAAACAAATGCACACATCTATTTGTGACATGATGTACCATGTGTGTGTGAAGTTTGAACTTGATCAATCCAGACATGTCTTGGATACGGATCCAGAACTGAATTCTTTAACAAAATGGCCGCCAGTCGGCCATTTCGAACTTGATCCGGGAAAAAAAAATGACCAAATTTGAACGAAATCCGTCCATGCATAACTGAGATCTGGGTCCAGAATGGTGAAAATGTGCGATTTCAATGCATTTTCGGCCTTAAAGCGGCCGCCATTTGGCTGTCGTTAATGAGATCATGAAACAAATGCACATACATATTTGTGACATGATGTACCTTGTGTGTGTGAAGTTTGAACTTGATCAATCCAACATGTCTCAGATACGGATCCAGAACTGAATTCTTTAAAAAAAATGGCCGCCAGTCGGCCATTTCAAACCCGATCCCCCCAAAAAAATGACGTGCATCAAGGTCCTATTATGTTTAATGTATGTACCAAATTTGAACAAAATCCATCCATGCATAACTGAGATCCTGGTCCGGAATGGTGAAAATGTGCGATTTTGATGCAATTTTGGCCTTAAAATGGCCGCTATTCGGCTATCGTTAATCGGATCATGAAAAAAATGCATGTGCATATGTCCCATATAATGTGTGATGTATGAGTGAAGTTTGAACTTAATCGGTCCATGCATGTTCGAGATACAGGTGATCACAGACGCACGCACGCACGCACACAGGGCAAAACATAAGTCCCCGTTTTCGGACTACATCCGAACGGGGACTAATTAGAGTTAATTTTCACTCAAAAAATGTGGCTACTTTTTGTCCCGATTTTCTGAAGGAAAGTGTAGAACAGAACTATTTTGTGAATTTGTGATGAAAAGAGGAAACTGGTGGTGAAAAGGTTAAATACCCCGGTAGTTCTTGCTGCCCTTGTTTGTACCCACCCACATTCACTCACTCACTGACTGTTTCAAATATGCCACTGACTTCTTTCAGGGTTGCATGTCTGCCAGTGTTCTTTTGAATTTTTTATATTTTTGTCCTACTCACACCTGTTGCTAGGTAGGATATGTATACACAAATAGAATTACATGTACATCAATTCGGGAATTATACAACATCTTTGCACATCATGCTTACATTATAGTGTATGTGATGGAGTGTATAGTATATGTCAACTATATAACAAAGACACAAGACTGATGGTTCTACACTAGCCAATCCAATAGTCTTGTTTAAAGAAACATCTAGCCCACACATTATCAAATGAACATATCCAGCACAGTGGCAGCATGTCACTTTGTACCACCATACTCACCCATCGAATCCAACTTGTTAGAGTTCTACCAATGTAATCCGAAGTGTTAAAAAGTAAAAAACATGTCACTGGTGTAAAATACAAATCTGTAAAATAGAAGTAAATGTTAGGAGGTAATCAGAAAAAAAATTCAAATTAGGATTAGGATTTTGTAATTGGAGAAGAGAGTGACTCACAGCATGAATGTCATCCTCGTATTGGACACAACAAAGTATTAGTGACACTCGTTATGCTGAAGTCCAGCATATTTTATTATACATGATAAAAAACCCAACACTATTATTAAGGAAAAGTGTGTGTTCTGGTTTCAGGATACAGCGAGTCCATTGATGAAGTTACAGACATAGCGTTTACAGTTTTAAGAACTTGCAAGAGCTGGCAAATTTTGTAAGTGAAAGAAAAGCAGAAACATTGTAGCAGTGAAATTTGTTTTCTGTTGTCCTAGAGTGTCAGTGATTTTCACAGAATTTTCTCATCACAAATGCCATAAAATCCTGAAATGGCAAAAAATTCTAGCAGTAATTAAAAAAGACACTTTATTCATTTGTCAAGATAATGAAGATTGCTTAGAGTGGGACTGTTAATTGTGTTAATGCACAACTCTCTCAGATTAGTTTACAAAACTAGTTAAGATGTCAGTTGTCACACAGCAGCATGTTTTTAGGATTTCATACACCCAAAACAGTGTACAAAATACACTCAACACTTAAAGTTTACACTATATCTATGGATAATACTGTGCTAGGCATTCTGTAAATTGAGTTGGCATGCATACTTACTCGTCCACGATGAAATGTCACTTCGTGTAGAATCTACCCTTGATGTCACAGAAGGGAAACAAGTCAATGTGACTGTAAATACTAAAACCACTAGCGCTGCCATTAACCAAATCTTTCAGAAACAAAAAAGAAAATATTATGTAATCTGATGGTAGGTCAGACACACTGCGGTTTCATATACTACTAATGTTACACTCAAATGCGTTATTGACCATCTTAATATGGCACTGGTTTTTCATCAAATAAACATGTATATAAATATATATATGACAAAATGATGCAATTTACTTGTATGTTTAGGCTTTTTAATGATGTTATCAATATTTTCATTGATGTCCTATCTTCAAAATAAAGGGGAACGAGATGACCTCTGATGAGAGAAACACTAAATCTAAATGTACAAGTTATTCAATGTTGAAGCCTAAAATAATAAGATTGAAGTGACTTTTGCATCAATTGCCATAGTATTATATTATTTATTACCTTTTTTAAAATAAATGTAAATGGTGGTTTGGATTGGTTTCTGCTTTTAGCGTTCACATTAAATTCAGTAGAACAACCAAGATCTGAAAGTAAGACAAAGTCAGCATGTAAACTTGTATATAATATACAACATAAATGTAAAATCTACTGTAAACGGCCTCAAATTTCACGATAGTTAAACTTCACAGGACGGTGAATATCATGGATCAGTGACTTTCAAAAATTTGAATGTCATAAAATCCTCAAATTGTGAAAATACCTTGGAGTTAAAATTAAACCGTTTACAGTGACATTTATATGTAGAAGTGGAATGAACATCTAGTAAATAATTCTTCTAGCAAACAATGTATTTATATTCCTTGGTATTTATTCAAAATAGACATTTTGGACAAATTTCTTAGCTAGTTTGTATTTATAGTTAGCTGATGTAGCTGTATAGTCTACATTGTGACAGTAAAGTGCAGTACTATAGAGAAAGGTGTACTGTTGAAGTATTCACCACAATACAAAAACATGGTGACATCGCTTGACAAATAGTAAAACCAGTTTTCACCTACCATTTTTTTTGTTCATGTAATATTTTAAAAATGGCATTTTCAGTAAAACTGTGAATAAGATGATAGACAACAAGATGACACCAACAGCCGACAAGAAATAACTGAAACCACTGACTTTAGGACTGGAGCTTGCTGAAAGCAGAAAAGAAAACAGGAAATATTCAGATAGGCATGAATACTAACAGCAATATTTACCTTGGTATTAGGTAGAAACATTGCTGAGGAAATTAAGTATTCTCCTTACTGATGCTAGTGGTGACATTCAAATAAATATACCAGACAGACCATCCATCCAATCAATCATCAAATAATACAAATAATAATAGCAGATGATAGTAAAACTGTAACTGCCCCCCCCCCCCCCAGTTTCCCTCATCGATGGGTGTTAGTGGGTTTTAAAGCTGTATATTTTGTTTATAGCACTTCAATGAAGTAGTATGTGCCGTATACCAAATGCAACAATCACAGTATTGGCAAGATATCTGAGTCAGAAATTGTTAAGCAAACAGCCGAACATCGCCAAGCATTTATATAAAATTTGACTGGGATCACATTTTCAGCAACTTAGAGCATCAACTAGTCCATAAAATCACACACAAAACTAGTGTCTCTGTAATGTGTCCTACCTAATCATTCAAAATTTGATAAGAACCAAGTCAAGGAATTTGTTTGATGAACACCACTTCTCAAGTTGTCTGTTCCTTTCTTTCTAAATTTATACATTTAATACAACATTTCATAACGTCTGTTAACACTGCATCCAAGCATACATGCAACATTACATACTTCTTAAGTTAGCAGGGTTCTCCCCAGAAAAAATGCATAGCACCGGGGCTAATTTGCATAATAATTTGCATTTCATTTACATATCTTTCCTTCATTGATTAACAGAACTTATTTACAATTATGAATATTAGTAAGCTCAGTAACAGGGCAAATATTTTTTTTTAATGGAATCAACACATTATGTTTCACAATTTAGAAGAGTTTGAAACATTCTCGAAATACAAATGCTACAGACTAAAAACAAACACAAATACATTATTGTTGCAATTTAATTGTTTTGTAAAA